CTAAGTTCTTATTTCTAAAAATAAAAAACCAAAAAAAATGAAAACGACATGGACAAAAAGGATGAAACTATAAATGAATATAAATTATTGGAATTAAATAATTATTTCTAAAAATTAACCACCAGGATTAACTAATTGTTTTTATTAAACTACAAAAACTAAATTGTAATTAACTCTTAATTAATCTTTTGGCCATAATCAACGTTAAAGTTAGTAGCAAAAACTTAATGAGAAACAGGTGTCATTCGATGCATTAATCATTAATGATAATTGTAAATTGTCAAATAATCATGAAAACTCCTTAAGGTGTTATGCAAAATGAATTTATATTATTTTTTAATATATTTTTCAAAATAAAACCTTATTAAACTAGAAATTTGTATTACTATTTTATGTTTAATTTTATTAATTTAATCAAGAAAAAAATAGGATAATAAAATTAAAATAGAGGTCGAAAATAAATCCAAATACCGCAGGAATGTCCAATAGCAGACATGATATCATTTACCAACACTTTTAAGGTTACAGTTGAAGCTAATGATTCTTTTTGTCGACGACTGGTGCTTATAAATTTCTCATCAATAATTCAGTGCTCATGCCAGGACAACATATCCTGCTTCTATCTAAATTCATGGTAACCATTAACAAAAACAAATTAAATAAATAAAAACTAAAATATTTGTTTGGAAGTGTAATGTTTTTATAATCTTTTTAAAAATATTTTTTTCTTAAAAAATATTAAATTTATATTTTTTAGTATCTTTTATAATTTTAATGTATTAATATTAAAAATAACAAAAAAATATTATGTTAATATGTTCTAAAATAAACATCACTTTTAAAATGATATAATTCACTACATCATCAAAAAGATAATGTTTTTACTTTATATCATCTCACAGAATCAATATTTTCTTTTGTTCTTTTGTGCCTTTGTTTTTTTTTAAAAAAAAAAATCTATGTTTCCCTATTCTTAATTAAAAATATATCCTTCTAAACAAATATTATTTAACTGATATTTATGGATTTTTTTGTATTTTTATCATTGTTTGTTTAGTAATGAAATTAAGTTAAAGGTAATTTAATTATTTAATAAATATTAATATTGATAATATAAATTGATTCACATGCATTGCATATATTGGTGTATGGCAATCAAATAAGGGCTTCTGGGTAGACATTCGAGTCGTCTCGATGGCCTACGGATTCCTATGCAAAGTGTATGGCCAACAAACCTTTAGCTTGGCTCATTCAACCTTTTTTGCACTTTTTTTTTTCTTTTACGTTTCCATGTATAACCCTTCAAATATTAAAAGCAATCATTTAATTTGATTCTCCTTCCAATTTGGTCCATCTTTATAGAATTGGATTTCTTTTTTAATTCCATCCTTCTTTAATTTTATTTATCTATCAAATTTTATCATTATTTTTTTATTGTTATTCATTTTATTTGAGATGGTTTTTAAATCTGATTTCTTTTAAGATTTTATTCTCCTTCAATTTTTTTCTTACAAGATTTAATTCATATTCTTTTAATTGTTATTTTTATAATGTGATAAATTTTTTAAATTAATTTTTTTAATTTTATCCTTCAATATTAAATTGTCTAAAAATTAAGCTTATTGATTAAGTATGGGTTGAGGATTTTATGGGTTGCAGATCTAAAAACTTAACTCAGGTTTAAGAGATTCTCTTGAATTTGCTTGGTTGTTTTTTTTTTTTAATTTTTAAGCTCATGTTTTTTTTTGTTTCATCCATTGATATTTATTTAATTAGAGATTAGACTTCGTTATTTTTTATTTTTTTTCTATATGAATTTTCACCGGGTTTGAAAATGATCAAGGTTTTTCTTATAAAATATATAGATCCTATTTTTATAGGATTCCAATTCATCCCATAGTTGTTTGTTTAGTTTTGTGTAATAAATTGTAACAATCATCCGACCTGACCTATACTTGAGTTCAAGTATAGCAAGAAATATCTCATTCAATTTGAAAAATACAAAATGCATTGCCTTGTAAAAAATGATCTCTAAGGTCTTCCTATATTTCTTGTGTTGTGGTTGAAAAAATAATATGATCTGTAATGTCTTATGTGAGTGAATTAAGGATCTAAGAAAAGAATTATATTATTATATTTTTTTCATAAGGCATATTCATCTAATTTATTTGTTTCAATCATATGGAAATGGTTCCATTTATAAAACCTAGCTTGGATTTGGCATTCAATAAAATCATCATGGTCATGCACCATATAATAGGCTTTGAAATTAGCATTATATCTTGATGATCTGAATGGTACAAAGAATATATATTGTTATTCAATGGTTGTTGTTCCTCTGTGATGATTGATAGTAGCGGGGGAAAAAATAAAATTACTAAAAAATCTAATTCTAATACCATGTAAAGAAAATAAAATAGAAATTTGTATGTATTTTTTGTATTAGGAAACATTTACTTTATATAAGAGAGTTGCTATAATTATGTTTTTTTATTATAAGTAGTCTAAGTGTAAAGAGAAACTAAAAATAATTACATGAAAATTACATTTCATAAAATATATCATAAAATATATTCTCTTTGAATGAAAATATCTTTCCTAATACCTAGAGCATGCTCCATCATTTTGTACTACTATAAAACAAATGGTTGTTTGGATTAGTATTTTTTTACCACTTAAACATATAATACATATAATAGTGAACATCATAAGTTTAGGCAACAACAAACATATCAGAAAAATTAATAGGAATAAAGAATATCAACACTATAACAATTATAAGGTAAACCAAACATTAAATAGTTTATTTTAGGTATGGTATTAGGGGTGTTAAAATCTTCCATTTACACAACTAGTCCATTACCTTAGAATCTCTGTAAGACCAGTTAGGTTTTTTAATGACTATAATATTAAATAACGACTTTCTTTTTCACAAAATAAAGACCCTGACATCATTCCTCGCTCCCGAGAAAAATCGCCGCGACGCCGTGCTTTTGCGAGGATGCGACAAGGGGGGAAAACCTTATTGTCCTGCCTGCAGCGTGTCTAGGGGAAAAAAATGACAAGTAGTGTTGTTAAAATGACATCGTTTTGTCTATCTTTTTTATAACAGTGAATGAAACGATGTCGTTTTGTACAAAATATGTTGTTTAATTTGAAAGAAAATGATGCCAAAAAGTCTTTGTTTCCAAATCAATCCTCGATTGAGATTTTGGTTTTAAGAATCAATTTAATTGCATCCCTACCAAATTTAAATATTAGCTTTGAAGTTAGTACCATTTTCAATTTAATTCTTTGTTTTGAATTTGTGTATTTTGATCCTTAATTGTTCAACAAACTTTCAATTTTTTCAATTTAATTTCTGATTCGGTCAATTTCAGCCTATATATATCCTACATGAAAAGGTTAAGAAATCATTCTGTATTTTTTTATGGATATAGATAGTTATTCCATGTAAAAATGTTAAGAAAAATTCAATGAGAAAACATTCCATAGAGTTGTAAGCTATAAATATAGTTATCCCATCTAAAAAAATTAAGAAATATTTTGAGGTATAGGCTATAAAAAAAATATGTGAGACCAAATATTCATCAATTAACTTTATATTTCTTGGGTTTATTAAACAAAAATATAAAGAAAAAAAAAAAGCTCAGGACTCACCCGAGTTTAGACCATTTAAAACCAAGCTGAGGTCCCAGGTTGCCTAGGTCTCACTTCAACTCCCGAGCTAGGTTGAGTTTTATATTTATGGGTAAAACTCATGTCAAATTTTTTGAAAATTGTTTTATGAAAAATATAACTAAAAATTGTTTTGCTTTGGAAATTATTTTGAGCAGTTTTTGATATCACCGCCTCTTTGTTTGGGAAAACGGTTTGAAGAGTAGCATCTGGATTTGAAACTACAACCTCGTTTGATCTTGAGAGATTCGTATCTGTTGATTTGTAAAGCTCAAGGTTACTTGTCGTGATCAAAATTTGTTTTTCTTACAAAGAGGATTCTTCGTTTACTTCAGAGAATGCACACACTAATTGCTGGAGAACTTGTCGTGATCAAAATTTGTTTTTCTTACAAAGAGGATTCTTCTTGAATGCAGGGAGCAACTTTTGGGTTTCCAAAGGCAGACCTTTAATTTGCATCTGGCAAGTTGGAAAATTTTATCTTCATTTGAAACCATTTGAGCCCATGATCTGGACTTTTGTTTCTACTTTTTTAGAATATAAAGGCATGATGCCTTTTTCTGTCTCTGTCTTCCTGTTTAGATGGCATTGGGTCGTCTTCCCTGCAAAAGATTCTCTTCTTGAGGAATTCTAACGGGGAATTTGAATTTTCTTGATGCATTCAATATCAGAATCAAAAATACTTAAACTAGCTTGCAATGTGACAAAAGATGTAAAGGTTTGCAGCAATGGAAATGTGTCGGATAGACTAAGGTAGAGGATTTTTCTTGAGTCTATCACGTAAAAGGCTTGCAAATATGGCTGAGATCAAGGTACAAGTACAAGATATAATCAAGACTTTCAAGAAATCACTTGTCACCAAATTGGATCGACTTTCCATGGGAATAATTGTTAAGGATGAATGTAGCTACGTTTAACTTACTAACTGATTTTTTATTATAATTATTATTTATTTTATAAAAAATAATATAATAAATATCAGTCTCCATAATTTTAATTATAAATTTTTAGAAACAATACTTTAATGTAATAAAAATACTCATAATTATAACTACTTTATAATTTTTTTATAAAGCACTTATATTTCAAAAAATTTACTTCATTAATCAAACTTAAATAGTTATTATAATAAATAAAAAAATATATTTTTGCATAAATAAAGTTAATATTACATATAATCACATACACTAGCAATAATAAGTACTGACTGATGAGTAATGATTCATACCAGGAAACATGAATCACGAACAAATACTTTCGTGAGTATTTAGTTTTCGATCTGTTTCTTATCCAGGATTTTTCATGGTAAAAAAGTTGTGGTTTGTGGCATCAGCTTTTACTAAATGGATAAAGATCCCGGGCTGATGAAGAGGAAGAAGCAGTCCCTGGTCCCTCTGATGACTTCACGAGGGACTGAGATTCACTTAAACTTCCATTGACAGAAGATTGAGCAAACTTTTTATGTAAGGCCGTAGCATACCCTGATGGATCAACCAAGGTGCTTGGAACCATGACGAGTTCCTCGACATCAGTTTTTCCTTCAAGCATGCTTACTACTGTAGACATTGTAGGTCTAAGTGCTGGAGACTGATTTGTGCATAGCAGGGCTATATTGATCATTCTAACCACTTCTTTCTTGTTGAATTCAGACCCCAATCTTGGATCAACCATCTCCATTATGTCCCCACTTTTTTGTAAATATAGAACCTGCAAGAACCAAAAAACAAAAAACTAGATATATAGGTGACTAAGAGTAAACATGAACAGGCAATTAAGAGACTAAATGGGCATAACTTACCCAATCTAGAAGGCATACAAAATTTTCATCCCTCCTAAATTTGACGTTGTTCATCCCAGAAACAATTTCCAATGCTACGACACCAAAGCTGTATACATCTGCCTTGTAAGTTAAGTAACCATATAATGCATATTCCGGTGCCATGTATCCCCTGCGCAGAAAGAATAACTCAGTTACTCAGAGACATTTTACTAGTTTGTTTCCCTAAAACATGTAAAAAAATGCTAAATGTCTATTGTTTGTTTTAGTATTCGATAGGCAAAATTATATTTCTTCCAGCCTAAACAGGATTTCGAACCCTGGATGATAATGTGAGTAGTGTATTCATTTAGAGGAACACAGCCATGGATGGGGAGGCCCTGATCCATGAGAACCCTGCGGTGTGTGATTTGAACCCTGGATGCCTGCCTACCACATATTTTTAAGCTAACCCCTTCCATCGGCACTTGAGCCCAGTTACAGCATCATACTGTTTAAGACTAAAAGCTATCTTAGATAAATGACAATAATTGTGTGTTTTCCTTACAGTATGTTCAATAAACCACTTGTGTTAATATCAGAAACTCACATTGTTCCAGCAACTCTGGTGTCGATGTGGGTCTTGTCCTCGTCATCAAGCTTGGCCATTCCAAAATCAGATATCTTGGCGTTCATGTCCTTGTCAAGAAGGATATTGGTACCTTTTATGTCTCTATGAACAATTTTGAGTGTCGACTCCTCATGCAGGAAAACCAGACCTTTCGCTATACTTACACATATCCTCTGCCTTGTACGCCAGTCTAGCTTCGTTGCCTTGATTTCCTTTGTCCCTGTAAACATCATGCATAACCCAACCCATCAGTTTCTTCTTCACTAATTCTATCTATATGCCATTCAAAGAACTTGTTTTCTTTCTCATTACTTTACATAAGATACTATGGGGAAGTGATCAGAGGCCTACCGAACAAAACATGCGCAAGGCTGTTGTTTTCCATGTATTCATAGACCAGCAACAATTGCTTCCCCTCAATGCAACATCCATACAATCTAACAAGATTTGGGTGTTGCAAAGCAGAAATCATGCCTATTTCGTTCACAAATTCACGATTCCCCTGTTTTGATTTCGCCGAAAGCTGCTTAACCGCAATCCGAGTGCCATCTGATAGTACTCCCTATAATGAGAATAATTTTAGACAAACAAAATGAGTTCACTGAGGCCATTCCTTGATGCTTCGATAAGAGAAAAGAAATAATATAGTAGACAAGTAGCTAGACGAAAACAAAAATCTGTACTATACTTTGTAGACGCAGCCAAAACCACCTTCTCCAAGTTTGTTTGCTGGATCAAAGTCATTCGTTGCGGCTTTGATTTGTCTGAAGGTGAAGATACCAGTAAGCAGATCTAACCCAACAAGTTCTACACAAGGAACAAAGAGGATATGTATATATTAGTTGTTCTGCATGAATGATTCATCAAAGGAAGAACACCGATGGTTTTAGCAGTCCTACAAGTAAACAGCATTGAGATTGATAATTCCCATTGAAAAAACCATTGTTAGAGAGTAATATAAAACCATTCCTTTAGCTTCATCTTTGGATTGAGATAATTCTTTGACAAATGTATGCATTCATGGATAGACATACAACAAATAAGATGCAGAAAATTGCTTATTGCCGTGTTATTTTAGTGACTGGATTCCTCACTGGAATTTGCAAAATCAAATAAATGTATCAACTGTACCTGGATCCCTCGATTTCCTTTCTCCCAAATAACCTTTCCACCAAAGAGTGGATAGAAATACGAGAATGAGGAATAATGGCAAAACCACAGCTCCAGCGACAATGAATCTCTTCCTCCCGCCTTTATCAGGTGGCTTGAAGTCTAGGCAAAAATAGAATTGCAGCGCGAGCAAGTATTGTCAGATCACAGTACTAATTATTACTTCATTACCATGTCATTCCATTATATGTCAACCTACCAGATTCCACATCAATGGCTGATATTAGAGGACCATATGTTCCTTTTGTGGGAGACCTTGTGGTTCCTTTCCCAGCCCAATGAAGGCGGATCTCTAAAGCTCCATTGGTTACAGGTGCTGTATAATTATGAATGTATACCTTATCCACCCCTCCCGCTGCCTTCACTATATCAAAATCCTTCAGCACAGCAATGTCCTGCGAGAACAATTCTTCAATTAAGGTGTCACCTATTGCATAAGGAATAAATCTATGATCTTTTAATTAATAGATACCTGAATATAAACATCAAATATCCGTCTTCCTAGACTGTAGTAGGATCTGTTATCCCTCATTACTATCTCTGCAAAGTGCAGCTTGATTTTGTAATTCCCATTTACCAGACAGGGAACGTGGTATGTGAGAGACAAAGGAGTGAGGCGTGCATTTGTGTACAATACAGAGTTGTCCATTCTGAGCATGGACTTGTTTTTTGCTATGTAGAAATCCAAGGAAGCAGGAACATCCCAGATATGTCCTGTGGTACTTGTTTGCCAATCCTCTCTTTTGGACGCATATTTTGCTGCACCTCCTGGCTCATTATCTGCTTCGTAGATGGTGTTTCCAATGGTGGCTTCTGGTCCCCCACAATTTATGTGCACTGAATATCGCTCTATTCATCGAAATAAAAATGGTCATGGTCACTGATATGATTAAACAAATTATAACACAAGAAATGTTAGGATCAGACCGTATGCTAAATCGGAGCAAACAGAACAGAAACAATTAAGATTTTGTGATGCAGGAGCATCCTTTTCCTCCTAGAGTGGAAATCGTGGTGGGACCCACGACGTAAATGCCCACATAATAGGACCTTTATATTTATTATCTAGTGAATATAGGAATAAGTTTGTCCGTTAACATTTGTCTAGGCTTTTGGGATCAACTGGTTGTTTATTCCTACACCAGTTGAATTCGATTTCTTTCCAGAGGAGGTTGATGCAGAGCATCATCTTCCTCTTGGGATGGAAATCCTAGTGGTGGGACGCATGATGGGGTAGCCACACGCAAAAGGACCATTGAGTTTATGACTGACTGAATTTTTAACAAAATTGCATGCACATGTTACCTTTGGGTTGCTATCTCAATGCAGAAGAGATGAATAGACAGAAGAGATGAAGACAGTTGGGAGAGAAAGGACATGTCCTCACCTCACGTCTTTTCTGATTTTAACAGATAAAAATTCAATCCAAAACTATACAAATTTATTTTTATATCTTCATCTTCGTCACTGTAACCAAACACATTTTTGTCCCTAATGTATTTGTCCATTCTATTCAAGGACAATAACTAAATGAAACCTTGGAGATAGTTTGATCATTCATGCACAGATGTACTGAAAAATATCTGGAAACTGGGAAGGATAATCTGATTTCCAGCTTCTCATGAGTATAGCTCTTCAAAGACAAGGACATATTATTAAACCTACAGACACGCATCTGTTATTGGATCAGGGAAACCTGAAGTTCATGATTAAGATTTTGGGTTGAGAATGTTCCGATAAAGGCGAACTGAATTTGATCATTTCTGTCTTTCGGGGGAGAGTTAATGGATAAAATATTCAATAATTCTAATTGAGTAAAAAGAAAACATATTACAAACAAAAATCTCAAAAATCATAATTTATATACAGATATTAAAAAAAACAAAAACTAACATACTAGCGTGTATTTCTTTTGTCGATCCAATCTGGGATGGGCCCTGGAAGCATATTCCTTGTAAGATACCTATGCAGAAAGTAAAAATTGTCATTTGGTTGAACATTTGTAAAAGACTGTTTGGAGGACAAGTTTATCATCATAATTGCTGTACTCTATCATGAGAATAACTTGAAAAAAGGATTGAGCCATCGGGTCAGCTCTGGTCAATATTTTTATTAAAAAATAATAATTTTGTTCTATTTTTTTCACAAGATATTGACCTGATGTGGTTTGGACAGGGTTTGGCCAGGCTGAATAGGTTTTATAGTTCAATGTCTTGTATGGTTCAACTAGAATCTTAGCCCTGTTCATGCTCCGAGTCTTAGATTTTCTTGGACTAGTTGTTTGACTGGTTTTGATTTAATAATTATGCTTTCATATGGCAAACATTAATTTCAGAAGGTAATATAATATAGTACACTTACATTTTCTCCAAGCTTTTTAGGCCATCATAATTTGTTGGAAGTGAACCATTTAATCTGTTGAAACTGAGATCCCTGTTTTCGAAAAGAAGGTAAAAAAAATAAATTAAATACCAAAACTGAGATCCCTGTTTTCGAAAAGAAGGTAAAAAAAATAAATTAAATACCAAAACTGAGATCCCTGTTTTCGAAAAGAAGGTAAAAAAAATAAATTAAATACCAAAACTGAGATCCCTGTTTTCGAAAAGAAGGTAAAAAAAATAAATTAAATACCAAAACTGAGATCCCTGTTTTCGAAAAGAAGGTAAAAAAAATAAATTAAATACCAAAACTGAGATCCCTGTTTTCGAAAAGAAGGTAAAAAAAATAAATTAAATACCAAAACTGAGATCCCTGGTTCATAATGCATTTTGAAAGTTATTTACAAATAATAATTTAGTTGCAATCTAAAGACAGCAGCTCTAAGTATCCATGAGATTCACACTTCAATCTTCATGACAGAATGGATGATGTATAAGGAATAGAGTGAATACAAAATTTTCAGGTGTGCCATTCTGGTCAAATATTCGGGAAAATTTCCTGACAAGTTGCAGTTGCTTAACAGCCTGCAATACACATTAATTTCATGTAAGCTAAATATATATGCTGTGTTGTAAATTAAATATGATCCTGATATGAGAGTGTCAGCTGCAGGAATAACTCACAGATACTTAATGCCTGCTATAGATTCTAGGTTGGGAAACTCTGAACCATCTCCAAGTAAGTTACTTATTTTTCTGCTCAATATTATACAGCATCAAAATGTGAGATGTTCAGGATTAAAGTTGTAACTGAGACCATAAATTTAAAACAAATATCTTACAGATCAGTTAGATTAGTCAAGAGAGAGATGCTTGAAGGAATGGGTCCAGTGAAACCACCAGCTTGGATCTCTCTGTTAATACAAAATTAAAGGGGGATTAGGGTTCTGCTTCAGTGATGAGATTCGGAGCTTGTGGTAGAAACTAGCACATACAATGTATCAAGTTGTTTCCAGCTCTGAATAAAATCAGGTATTCTTCCAGTGAAGTTATTGCTGCTAAGCCTTCTGCACTCGCCAAACGGAAAACACAGAATCATGAAACTTGGAGAGTAAAGAGATGCATCTGTAATATCAAATACTGCAACCAATGAGCATGATACACAATAACCATGTGAAATGAGAACCTACAGTTCCTTCAATCCGGTAAGATTAGTGAGAGCCTGGGGTAACTCTCCAGTGAGATTATTGGCACTGAGAGTTCTGCAATCACAAAAGGAGAAAAACACTTAGCATTCAATAATCAGGTAGGACTTAATTTCTAATACAAAAGCTTGAATGAACTGACAGATTCTCCAGGTTAACCAAGCCTCCAAGCTCAGGGGGAACGGTTCCAGAAAACATATTGTCCTGAATGTTCCTGCATAAATGCCAACTCTCAGGATTACTCCTGACTAAACAATTGAACAAATTTAAATATAAAATTAAAAGACAAGAAATTGACTAGTAGAAAAATGCATACAGGTAGCTCAGTGTGGTAATCCTTCCCAGATAGCTAGGAATTTTTCCCGTCAACCGATTCACGCCGACAGACCTGTTGTTTATACAATCTATTAATTATGAGTAAGCAATTCCTTGGCTAGAAAACATGAATGCAGAATTTTCTTACAATGTTTCCAGCTTGGTATTAGCCCATTCAGATGGTATATTGCCACTCAGGTAGTTGGCATAAAGAACTCTGCAAAGCCGATAAAGTTCTAATAAAACCGAATCATACGATGCAAATTCACGGTGCTCAATCTGTAGAAACGTAATAATTTGAAGCACTGCTTACAGATGTTTAAGGTGTGGAAGTTTCTCGATAGCCTTTGGGAGAGTACCGTCAAGATCTTGCCTTTTGAGATATCTGCATTGCAAGAACACATGGACCCATCAACTCCTCAATACAAGGTAAGAAATCAAAACTTTCAACCATTGCAAATCAACAATCATATGTCAAGAAAATACAACTTTTATTATTTATTGTTTTTATATATTTTTACTGCTAATGAATTGCATCTGAATTTCTCAAAATAAAATTCAACTACCGAATGGGGTTTATGAGGATATTTAATCCACCACAAATAGTCCTCCACTGAATTGTTTTCCTGGTGGTACGAGTTATTTTTTTAGCATAAAAAATTATTTAAATATTATTAATATTTTTTTAAATTAAAAAATTATTTTTTAACTTGAAATATAATGCATATTAAATGACATGTTTTTTAAATATTTATATGGTGATATAGTGGATGATATTTTTAAACAAATATTAAGATAATGATATATTAAATTAATCTTTGTTAACATGTCAAGTTTGTAATTGAGAATTATGCTAACCCTATAAAAAAATCAAAATAAATTATGAAGATTAATTACTAATTAATCCAATATTAAATGAAAAAATAGATAAAAAAAATAAAAAAACTACTTAAGTCAATCACGATCAACCTTAAAACTCATAACTCGACTCATAACTTGAATTAAGAGATCAAGATAATTTAAAAAATATTTTAAAAAAATATATAAAACTCAATTTCTAATCAACTCAATTTTAAATATTGAAAGTAAAAAAAAAATCAATTAAAAATAATAACAAAAATTAAAGTTAACCCAAGCTAACCTATAACACTTGTAACTTGGGATATGAGACAAGATAACTTCATAAAAAATAAAAAATAAAATTACAAATATTTATTTTCAATTGATTTAATTGTAAAAGTCAAAATCGACGAAAAAAAACCAAATCATTTAAACCAAGATAACTCTACAAAAATTAAATTGAAAAAAATTACAAAACTTGATTATCAAAAAAACCTAATAATACAGGATAAAATTAAAAAAATTATTGAAGGGTAAAATTAAAAAAAATAAAAAATGATCAAAAAATAATCCGAGTCAACTCAGGTTTATCTATTAAACCTTCGATCTAGATAATAAAATTAAGATAACCTTATAGAAATTAAATAAAAAATTACTAAGCCTAATTATTAAATATTAAATTACAAAAAGATAAAAAACAAAAAAAATAGATTCAGGTTAATTTATTAAATTTATGATATGAATTATATGATGAAGATAAATTCATAAAAAAATAAATTAAAAATCTCACTATAGAGAAAAAAGAACTAAATTCATGAGATAGATATATAACTCAATAAAATAAATTAGGTAAAATTATGGAGAATAATTTTAAAAATAATTTGATATTAAATGATGAATTTGAAAAACAAAAATAAATAAAAAATATATTAAATTATTCAAGATTAAAATAATATATATATTATAAGTATGACTGCAGTGATTTAACCACACACATTTAGTGTATTTTGTTAATTCCTTCAACTTGCCCATCAGAATCCTTCATACCTCAAATTTAAAATGAAAACAAAAGCATGGAGTGGTAAGTGAAGAGATATACATGGCAATAACGCGGCACGCTCCCCCAGGAAATGAGCAGTTGCAAACAACTTTATTGTCAGCTTCTAGCTTTCGAGGTAAAACTGTATCATTGCACAGTGTCATATTGCGATTCCAGCCCTTTTTGCCCAGTTGTGTTGCTACTTCAAGTAGAGCTTCCACTGCATAAATCAAAATTAAATCTCAATTTCTAATTCTGGGATGATTAGCTGGTGGCTTCTACAACGCCTCGCCAAGAAATGTTTGCAAAAAACACAGAATTCTGTAAGAAAATCACTGCATAATGCCATTACTAACATGGTTACATAATCCGTCAATACAATCAAATTTGATGGCTGCATTATCGAAGAGCATGATGCAGTGAGGATTTTGCAGATAAAAAAACTCCTGCTAGAAGAAGGCATTACAAGTGTATGTCTTCCTCTAAACATTAAAGAATCTGCTCATACGAACCAAATTAAAAATATACATGTACCTTCATCAGGAGCAAGGCTCCCAACTTGGGCCTCCAAGTTAATTGCTCCCATGCAAAACATTAGTAACACAAGCATAAGTAAGCTAGATGTGACTCTCAAAGTATCAGAGAGTGCAGGAGCCATCTTCCTTTGTCTGAAATCCACGTTAAGAAAGTAAGCTGCCTTTAGAGAGCTTTATGCATCATTACATTTGACCTTTCAGGATGATGTGGGGTCTTTCTTACGTTGTCTTGTATATACATATAGAAGCCCACACTTCAAGAATACCTTTCTGTCCCCGTCGGCTAGACCACTTGTCTATCCTTTCTTTTTCTTATATCTTTTAAAAATATTTTAAAAAAATTAAATGTTTTTTATTTTTAGTATTTTTAAATTATTTTAACGATGATATCAAAATTATTTTTAAAAAATAAAACAATATTATTTTTTAAAAAATAAAAAAATATTATTTTAATATATTTATAAATAAAAAAATATTTTAAAAATAACTATTAACATCTTTCCCAATAATCCTCGATGAAAAACTCCTAAATATATCCTTAGTCAACGGAAAGATTGGTAGGTCAAAAAAAAATAATAAATATCATTTGGAAATTGGGGAGGAAGTATCCGACAATATGAAAGAAGAATCTTACGTTCAGAAAGGGACAAATGATAGGCTATATAATTCTTTGAATCCACAAAACCATCAAAGAGGCTCATTGTATATAAAGATTTCATATTCCATGCAGCCTCCCTCGTCGTTTCTTAAAAAGACGGTATATCAGCGTTTTATTATATATTATTTAATTGTTATCACGTGATAATAGAAACAATAACAAAAAAAAATAAACTTGTCTCTTGTATAATTTTCTAGGAATTCACCACTAAAAAATTAATAAATAAAAATAAAAATATTAAAAGAATATTTTTATTAATAAAATTTTTTATTACCAATAAATTTACTGATAAATAAAAAATTACCAATAAATATTCACCTAATTTTATTAGTAAATTAATTACCAATGAAATAATAATGTAAATACAAATAAAAATTATGTCAGTAAATATAAAGATTGTGGCAGTGATTTTTATATTTTTTTAAAAATAATATATATTTAAACATGATATATTTTTATTTTTTATTTTTAAAATATCTTTCTAAAATATATTTATTAATCCAATTGTATTGAATAATCTCTCAAAATGAAATATCTTAAAGAATATCATTTCAAAGTTGGATTCCTACCGGTCTCTCCTGGGTGGCTCTATGAGATTCCATGTGTTTTCCTATGCTTTTAATGTGATGAAAATTTAGCACAAGTTGGTTTTCTAGTCCTCCACAATATTTGACCAAAATATTAAAAGACTAGGGTATGGAACCTAGCTCTAATATTTCAAATGTAAAAAAAATAAAATAGAAATTTATATATATTTTTTATATTGCAATAGGGAGTTGTTATAATTAAGCTATTCCATTACAAGGAGTCTGAGTAAAATAAAAAACCTAAAAATAATTACAAGAAAATTGTATTAAATAAAATATATTGTCTTTGAATGAACATATATTTCGCAACACATAGCATTCTCCATCATTTTGTCCCCGTTATAAAAGAAATGGTTGCCTAGATCAGTTTTGCTCTGCCACTTGAATATATAACAGTGAATATTATAATCTTGATGATAGCTGTAGTTAAGTTTTGGATTTGCTTTTTAATAATTATAATAATTATAAATTTGAGTTTTTTAGAATGAATTATTAAAAATTTATATGATTATTAATTTTAAAATTAATAAAATTAATTAATATATATATATATATAAACTAATTCAGATATTTATTGATCCAGATATTTCCATTAATAGTAAATATTATATGTTCAAGCAACAGCAAACACATCGTGAAATACATTGTTGAATGACTAAAATGTGACTATTCTTATTGTTCAGGAGCAAATGTGTACTTTACCCTCAAATCATATTAATCCAATAAAGTACTTATGAACAAGCAAATTAAAGCAAAGCTGTGTTTGGGAACATGAACACTAATTCCAAACAGAGTCTAAATCAGACACATCTAAGCATCTTCTTAATCATTTTAAACAAACAAGAATAAATAATGTATCACAAGCATCTTATTGATTGTTTTGTATAATTATTTAAACTGTGTTATTTAATAATTTAAATAAGTTGATATAAAAATAAATATTATTGATAAAAATAAATTTTTAAAAAATAATAAAAAGTTATTTACTTCACCAAGCCTAAAAGGCTGATTGTTTCCATTATATAATAATAACAATAACAATAATAATAATAATAATAACAATAATAATAATAATAATAAAATGGTATACAAGGTCATAAGATCTTAATTAATAAAAAAAAATTATAGCTGCACAAAGAAAATAATTGAAAGTTTTTATAATTAAAAAATATTTTTGAAAAACTAAAATACCAAATACACAAAGCATTGAGAGAAGTTTTTATATATTTTTAGCTGAAAAATATTTTTGAAAAACCAAAATATCCTTCCATTAATGCAAGGAAATCATGTTCCTTGCCTTCCAGCTGCGAAATCACAAATCCATAGCCAACATTCACGAAAACCTGCCACAGGCTGGTATGTAGACAGAAGGACAATAATGCATGAGACGACGGCCAGTAGGGACTCAAATCTTTCAACTGATCTTGCTTGTTTGATTTTGTGTTGTATGATTTTCTTAACAAATATTTTTTAATAAAAATTATATTAAAATAATAATTTTTTTATTTTTTTATTAAAATATTTTAAAAACATTTTAAAACAATTAATTTAATATTTTAAAATAAAAAATACTTTAAAAAATACCCCATATCCCTGATGGCTATTGACTTCTATTGACTTGGTACAAGCGTTCATATAATAATCGCTCGGTGTGAGATATTAATCTGAGTCTTGTCATTGCTCTCTAGCTAGGTGACATATAGAGAAATTAATGTTTGATTAATCTTATTCAAAAAATTAAATGAATGATTGATTTATCTATGCAATATTTAAAAGATTTACTTTTTCAACCGTTAAAATAGTAATGAGATTTTCAGGGTGTTTGTTCATAGTTTTAAAAAACAAATTAAAAAAAAATATTTTTAAATCATTGTGATATACTAATATTAAGAATATATTTTAATAAATAAGAAAATATTAATTTATTATATTTTTAAATAAATATTTTTTTAAAAAATAATATTTATTACTGTTTCAAATATCCCCTGTCTTTTCTTTTTAAACGAGGATTAAGGTTTCCAATTTTAGTTGGGAAAATAAGAGATACATAGATCACAACATCATTTTATTATTTTACCCTCCTAGCTCTATCTTCTTCTTGGAATCGTAAGTTTGAAAGAACCACTAAAAGTAAAAAGATGTTATTCTAAGCTCCGAAAATAATATTTAATTGGGAAGGTGCTGATCTTGCAAGTTAATGGTCAAAGTTTGAATAATAGGTAAAGTGATTAGGGTTTTTTTTTTTAAATTTAGGACAGTGAAAGGAAAAAATAACACAATTAAAAATATTAAAAATAAAAATAATTAGTTTTAGAGTAGATCAATAATAATTTTTTCATATATAAAATCAATATAAAAAATATAGAGAATATTTAAGGTGTTTTAAATGTGATGAATAATCTACATTTAATAATCTTGAGTCTAGCATTATGTCAAACTCAAATGCTATTGGATTTACTTGTAAAGTTACACTTAATAGCATTAGGTCTTGCAGGAATGCTAGACCCAATACTATTGGATTTGTTGTCGAGCCAAATCTCATATTTTTTGATCTTGCTGCCTAGCAAGGCTCAATATCCTAGGGTCTAGCGATCAAGCTAAATCCAATAACTTTGAATCTGGTTGTGGAGCCGGATCCAATATTTTTTTTAAGAGTATTTTTTACTTGAAAATAATTCACATAATTTTTTTATATTTTTAACAACAACATCTCAAAATTAAAAAAAAACAAATACTATAATTTTTTTATATTTTTAACAACAACATTTCAAAATTAAAAAAAATACAAAAAAATACATCAAAATATAATATTGTTTCAAGACAAATACACTTTTAAAATATAAAAACAAACAACTTTTAAAGCAAATATGACAAAGAAAACGTGATTGTGTGTGTATAAAAATTAATCACATTTTCCATATTAATTAAAACAAATATGCATTGGGTCAAAAAATACAAAAATTATAAATATAAAAATATCATTAGGTCTAGTTGGGCAACCAACCCTAGCGAGACCCAATAGCACTGGGTCTGGCTTTCAAGTTAGACCCAATATTATTGGATCTAGTTAGACAGTCAGATCCAAGAATATTGGTAGTTGGATTTAATAGCATTGGGTTTGGCGGTCAATTCAAATCCAGCAATATTTTTTGACTAAAAAACAGAAATATAGTAGCATTTTTTACTAAAAAAATAGAAAAGATAGTGTCCCCTGGTTCTACAGTATTGTCTACAGTGTAAATAATCTATGTCTATAATATGGTCTATAGTATAATAAATTTATATACACAATATTTGTATGGTGTTTTTTCATGCATTTTAAAGTATAGTATAATAATAATGTCTTATCTGTGACAGAAAAATGAATCTATAAACATCTAATAAGCTTCATAAAATAGATTTGTCATTTGTGAGATTTATTTTAAATATGGTCAAATGTCGTATGGTCCATCGAAATTGTATAACCAAAGCTAAAATAATACGAATAGTTATCGGTTTAACAATTGGGTTAAAGGTCTCAAAATATCATAAAAGACAAACAAAAAAGAAGATGGTTTTGGAAAAAAATATACAAACCATGTGTATCATTATCACTATATAAATGTTACAGTTATGGTGATAAACATTACAATAACAACAACCATAACTTTCAGAATAATCACAATTGAGTTTAAGTTTAAACCTAATAGAGTAAAGTTTGAAAATCATGCATCCTGGTTTGTAGGGAGCATGTGATTAATATTCTTAACACCTTCCGTAAAATTAGTAGGTAAGGAACAAATTAATAATTTATCACGCAGAATACAAAATTGACTAACAGTATAGGCTTTGGAGAAAATATTTGCAGCTTCATTGCAGGTATTGATATATCAAATAACCACATCTTTGTTAG